TGGGAGTGGAAGGCTCGTTGGTTTAAGTGGAACATCAGGCAGATGAGGTCCCTGGAGACATGAGGTGAGTTGCAGCCCGGGGACACGAGAGGCCTTGTGAGCCAGGCCAGGGCGTGGCTCCTCATCCACAAGGACGCTGCCCCTGGAGTTGGTAGGACAGGGGGTGACAGAGACAGGAGACCTTCCTGCCAGGGTGAGAGGGGAGAGGCTGGTGCCAACCTCTTTGAAAGTTGGTGGGTGGATGCTTTAGGGCAGAGGTCCCCAACCTCCAGGATCTAATGTCTGATGATCTGAGGTGGAGCTGGTGCAATCATAATAGAAATAAAGTGCACAGTAAATGTAACGTGCTTGAATCATCCCAAAACCACCCCTCACCCCCATCCATGGAAAAATTGTCTTGCACAAAATGAGTCCCTGGTGCCAAAAAGACTGGAGACCACTGCTCTAGGGGAAAAACCAAGATGTGGGCCCACACTGGGCTGATCGCCAAGATCAACTGGGGAGTTCACAGCAAATAAAAGGCCAGTTCCAATCACCATGCCCAAAATATCTATTTTCCCTGTACCTATGAGATGCGGCCAAGGAAGCTGATTTAGAGGCTACATAGGTTCAGCCTTGGGAACCCTTGGCTGTTGGGAGGGCTCCCTGGGGAGGCATCCACACCTCAGAGGCAGGGTATTTGTGAAACTCTGTCTTTGTACCGTTTGGCTGCTGCGAGCCCTGCATTACCTGCAGGAATTTGGGGACAAGCTAATACTTCTAACAACTCAGACTTTAATTAGCTTCACACACTCAGGTCATCTCGGCCCGCCCCCTCAGGTGGCTCTAGGGGCGTGCGGCGGCAGGCACAAGTGTCGTGTCTGGAATCGATGTGCCTGTCGCTGTGCCTGGAACTTTTGTGGATTAACTCCATTGATCCTGATTTAATTAGGACCAAAGGGGCATCAATGAGCGGCAAGCCTTCAGGTACTCAGGTCGCGTGTAAGTCCCATTTATCATTGTACTCAGAGGCGATGCCCCACTCACCTTAGTGCCCTGGGAGCCCACGTGGTCCAACAGCTGGCTGCTCCCACTGAAGACACTGTGGACAGGGCTGGTCAGATGGACTCGCTGGGGACCATCCAGCCGTGGCCACCTTCTCACCATGGAAGGTGCCATGTAGAAACCCCGGAATGGACACTATAGGTGAGTCTTCTAGAGTCAGCCACGGTCCCACTGCCTCCAATAAATGCACACACACAGGTCCACTCCCCCACACGCATGCACACATCCACCCCTACACATGCACTAATCCCTGAGGACACACCCAGCTTTCCCCACATCCTTCTGGGCACGTTTTTCTTAAGAAAATCAATGAGCTGTGGAAGTCGGAACCCACCAGGCCCCCATTGTGCAAACGGAGCTCCAAACAGCTAAATAAGAAGAAGGACCAGGACTTCCCCAGTGGTCCAGCGGCTAAGACTCCACGCTCCCGATGCAGGGGCCCAAGTTCCATCCCTGGTCAGAAAACTAGATCCCACATGCCACAGCTAAGAGTTTGCTGCAACTAAAAATCCTGCATGCCGCAACTAGGACCCAGCACAGCCAGATCTATAAATAAAATAAATACATATTTAAAAAAAGAAGGGCCAAAGGCCATATCTGTGAATTCATGCATATTTGTGACTATCTTCTGCTCTCTTATACAGACATTTGGCATCAGACAGACAGTTTTGAGAGACACGCTTCCAAGCTCTTGTAGGAAGTGGGGACAGGGGACAGAGCTTCCTCTGACATCCTTTAGTGGAGTGATACCCGTGAGAGAGAGGGACCTTGCTAGGCGGTGTCCCTGCAGGTGAGGATGGCGACAGGGTGTTGAGCGGAATCTGTGCCACTTGCCCATTTAGTTCCTGTGTTAATATCAGTCACTCAGTCACGTCCAGCTCTTTGCAACCCCCATGGACTGTAGCCCGCCAGGCTCCGCTCCCCTGTCCATGGGATTCTCCAGGCAAGAATGCTGGCGTGGGAAGCCATTCTCTCCTCCGGGGGATCTTCCTGATCCATGGATAGAAGCCAGGTATCCTGCACTGGAGGAAGACTCATCACCATCTGAGCTTCCCCTGCCCACTCTACTCACCAATGGGCCCGCTGTAGACATGGGGGATCGAGAAGTGGAAAGCTTTAAAAAAAAAACTTTCTTTTTTATATTAAAGTACAGTTGACTTTAAATGTCGTGTTACCTCCAGGTTTACGGGAAAGTGATTCAGTCACACATACACACATATCCATCCTTCTTTAAACTCTTTTCTCGCTCAGGTTATCACAGAGTTTTGAGTGGAGCCCCAGGGCTGTAAGCAGGTCCTTGTCAAATCCGACTCCTGCAGGACACGGGAGCCGGACAAACCTGAGCAGCAGGAGGGGCCCCACTCAGTCTGGAAGTGGACTGCAGAGCATGCCAGCCTGTGCCCTTCAAGCCGCACCCACCTGGCTGTCACCGAGCACCCAACCCGGGCAGGCTGAGGGTTGGCACAGAGAACACATCCCAGTCCTGGATCCCTGAGTCACCGCCTGGAAAGGAGCTGCTGTGGGCACAGCCGCAGACCCGCAGGGGACGTAGCAGAGTCAGGGTCTGAAAGCGGAGGCTTGCTCATTACACAGCTAAACTGTGCCCATCCTGCCTGATGCAGGCCCCAGAGCAAAGGGTCCCCCAGCAGGACCATGCCTGAATCCAGAGGCCTGTCTGGGGAGTTGGGAAGCAGGGCGGATCCCAGGAGGGGAGCCAGGGGCGCGTATTACGGGGCCCAGGCTCTCAGAGCAGACCTCCACAACCACAGGGTTACACCCTAAACATCAGCTGGCTCCCTGCTCCTCACAGCCTCTCGGCCAAGTCAGGGTCCCACGTCCCCTCCGGGGCAGTCTTCCTGGGGCCACGGATGCCAAGCATGAGGCCGGCCCTGAGCACTGCTGGTGCCCAGGGGACTGTTCTGGGGAAGCCCCGCTGTTGGTTGGCACTCGGCCCCTGAGGGCTAAGAGGGACAGTGAGGGGCTGGGGCAGCTGTCCCCCACAGAAGCCTGGAACCGGGTCCACCTGCTCCTCCACCCAGCGCTTACCCTAAGTGGGCCTGAGGCTCTGGGCAGCGGGTAGCACCTTCACAGTGGTGTGGCTGGACCACCCATTTGGACAGTCCCTGACCACTCTTCAAGCACTTCTGGACCAAAGGTGAATCCAGCTTCACCCCTACCCTGTGTGCAACTGTTTCTGGTGGGAAGCAACTGGAGATGGATCTGCCCACTGCAGCGTGGCCCACCCACGCCCTCCCATTTGCCCCCTCAACACCATGCCCTGCACATCCCCCCAGGGGACAGCAAACCCCAAGCTCAGGAGACGCAGCTCTCAGAGGCTGGGGTCTCATCTCCAGACCCTCCCAGGCACCGCCTCCAGGCAGGAGCTTCACCCCCAGACAGCGCCCTCCCACACGCACGCCTGGCCTCCACTGTACGCAGTTGTGATGTGAACCCGTGGGTCCCTGACTTTGTGTCCTTACAGCCAGGAACCCAGTTTGTGGGTCCCTAGGGCCCTCGTGGTCGCAGACACAGGCTCCCAGGCTCAGAATTACACAGCCCGGTCAGTCAGATGGTTATCTGAGCGGATGGATGGGAGAATAGACGAATGAAGGAACACTAATCACCTTTCCTGTCCACTCGCCCAGGCTAATGAACTGAAAATGTCGATGGAGGAATGAACCTCGGATCTCCAAAGCTGCCATGAAAGAGCAGGCAGATGAGAGTCAACCTGGGGAAAAAAAAAAATCACAGCCGAATCCTTCAGGGAGTTTATTTTAAAAGACAGACAAAAGGCACATTTAATTTAATGTTATGCTAAAGCAACAACAAGGTTCAAAGGCCCTGCATAGTCAGAGAGCAATTGCTTCTGCACCTTTCGGAATAACAAACCTCAGGAAGAACCAGGCTGCTCCTCTGTGTGTTCTGTACAAGCATCCTGCTCCTCCTTTCCTGCAGGCCTCTCACGCCCCGACTCCAGGATATTCATTCCCTCAAGGCCAGGGTACCCACCTGGGAGCCTTCACATGCCAACCCCTAATCCCTGCAGGCACCCAATGCTCCCCATTCTCCAGGTCCCTCCTCCTCCTCCAATCCCTCTCCCTCCCCTCCTCCCCTTCGCCCTCTCTCTTTCCCCTCCTCCTCCTTCTCTGCCTCCTCTCCCTCCGCCTCCCTTCATCACACCAGCCTCAGTCCATCCACTCAGCCGTCCCCTACAGCCAGAGGACAAATTGGACAATGCATCGGAAGCTTCAGGAAGAGGTGTGGCCCAGGGTAGGCACCCAGGAAATGAGCAGTGGTGGGGCAAAGGTGCCAGAGTGGCTGGGGGTCTGGCAGGGAGGGAGCCAGGTGTAGAAGCCCCTGTTCTCACTGAACTGGAATTGTAGAGGTTTGATCACGTGTTTGCAAACAGGGTCTCGGTATCCCTAGGCAGGCTTGAGAGAGCACTTCCCCCAGAGTGGGGCATCCTTCTGGGGGTCCTCAGGCCGATAACTAAGCCCCTCCGGGCTGCTCCAGATGCAGAGTCGGGTCAGGTCTGATTGATCTTGGCACAAGTAGGCGGCTTACGTAGATGGTCATTAAATGGTTCACTGGGTGAATTAGTCCACGGACAGGCTCTGGCCTTGACGCCCAGGCACCCGATGCCGGCAGACAATTGACTTTCTCTCCAGTGACGGCCCCGCACCGCAGTCCCACCGGGAATGCGAGCTCCAGCAGCCCTTTGTTTCAGTCGGGATGTAACTGGTTAGTAACCTGTTAGTCAAAGATGGTAGAACCAACATTCTGTGATGTGGAAGAAAGTTCTGACCCCTTAGCTCTACCGAACCGTGGGTGGCCGGGGTCACGTGGCTCAGAGGATGCGGATGATTCCGTACAATTTTCATCCTCTCTGGTGCTAATATCACCTGGAGGAGATGACTATTTCCTGTGTTCTTGTGCATTTTACATGTGTTCTTCAGGACTGTAAGACGTGTTTCTGAAGCTGTGGTCTTCCTATGTGACGAGCAGTATAAAATTTCCTGGAACCACCATGTCCTGTTGAAACGCCTCATCAGCATGGAACAGCTTGGCTCCAACGTGTTTGAGGTGGGAGGATGCACGGGAAGGAAGTGTCGGCCGTAAGGCTTGTAGATAATAGAAATTGACACTCGCAGTGGCCTGGGTGGGCAGAGGAGATCTCTCTAGGCAAATCAGCGTGATTGTCTTTTAATTAACCTTGAAATAGAAATATTCTCAAGCTTGGAAGGCTTTTCGGTGAACTGCAATGGAGTGGAGGCACCTTCTTACCATAATAACGTTTCAAACTTCATAATGTATTTAACATTTGTCTAACGCAAGTGCCTATAAGTGCTAGAATATGCTGGTTGTGTTAATAAGATGGAACCACAGTCCTGAATCAGGAACGGGGATGAGATGAGGACATCTCACTCAGACAAGCTTCTGCCTCTGCCCTCGGGGAATTGAAGTGGGTCTTGCACTGGGAAAGTCTCTACCTGTCCTCCTTCTCACTTTGAGAGGCCGCCAAGCAATGCGGTGAGCGTGTGGGACACTCCCGGGCCAAGCAGTGCTCCTGCACATGGGTCCGGCGGCCCGCCCCAGGGATCCTGCCGGCATCAGCGGGAGAGCTGGGTCCCCCGGGGCAAAGAGGAAAGCCAGCCTCTCCGGGAGGGAGGGCTCCGACTCCTGCCTTCACCTCCATCCTGGGAGAGCATCCCGAGGAAGCTCACATCTCAGGGATTCGGCGCAAAAACCAACCACGGGGCGTCTCCAGCTGGGTCTCCGAAGGCGCTCTGCTCCCCGCAGTCATCAGGTGCTCGGCCTCTTATCTCTGATGGCCCCAGTCTCTTCTTCTCTCCCTTCTCCCAGGAAACCGCCACTTTACCCCCTGCAGCCAGCTGGCAAATGGAGACACAGGAGGACGAGGAGGACGAAAGGGGCACGGGGCGGGGAGGGCAGGGCTGGAAGCTCCTGCCTGGGAAACCCTCTCTGCTCAGACCTCTTGGCTGGAAGTCAGATGCTCAGCCCTGCCTACGGGGGAAATGTGCGTCCAGCAGGAAGGTGGGGGGTGGTCCACGGACCGGATCATCCTCTCTGCCCGTCGGCACCTGTGTCTGCCTCCACTGACGGGGCCCCGCAGGGGCAGGGGCAGGGCCCAGCCTGTCTGCCCGGAGGCCCAGCCCTTGGAGTTGTTCCATCCAGCCAAGATGTGAGAGTCTTTATGTGGGTGAGTTAGTAAAACAGGCTACTGATGGCATGTATGAGGCAGGGAAGGAAGTGATGGAACATACGCGGTGTTGTTGTCGGCTCTCTGCAGTGTGACGGGAGACAGCAGAGCCCAGAAGGAACTTGCCAAGGTCACTTGTGCTGACCTTGGAGCTGGGAATGGAACCAGAGGCTTTGCCTGTCCACCAGCCTTCCCGCAGCTAAGCTGGGCGCCAGGGGCAAGGGCAGCTGCCCCAGGGAGGACCCAGGAGGAGGCAGCGTCTCGGATGCCCTCAGGGACGCAGTGATAAATTGCTTTTCCTTCCTCCGTTCTGAACCCAGAGAGACCCCTGCCCCAGCCCGCCCTCCCACACCTGGTGAAATGCCAGGGTAGCATCAGCCTGGGCCCCCCACCAGACTCCAGGCTTCTCTTTGGGAACTTCAGTCTGTTCTCTGCGCTAATTACAGCCTGTCATCCGGAACAAATACCTCCTATGACAAGCCAGATAATTAATATGCTGAGAGAAAACTTTCTTTTTTTCTTAATTAAAGCACACAATTCCCTTTAAAAGCCAGAAAATATATCTATTGTCTCAAGTCAGTGCACGCACACATCAAAGTCTCTGCAACACTTCTGTTTTCTTATTTGGTGCCTTCAAGTTTGTTTTTTTTTAGCATATATAAATAGTTAGCAGTTAACATTTTTGGGGGATAAAAATCAGCCAGAAAGTACCAGATAAGCAATAATAATAATAATGACGGCTATTGTTACCATGGCTGTGGTCATATGGAGGGGCTATCTGATACATGCAAGGCATTTCATAAGTGTTATCTGTAAGGGCCAGTCCTTCTTTCCGGATTTGGTATAATCCTGACTTTACACATAAGAAAGCGGTGGTCAGGGCGTTTTAAGACCATCACCCTGGTACAGGCTTGGAAACAGTAGTCGTTGTCTTTTTGTTCAGTCACTGAGTCGGGTCCGACTCTTTGAAGTCCCGTGGACTGCAGCACACTAGGCTTCCCTGTGCATCACCATCTCCCAGAGTTTGCTCGAATTCATGCCCATCGAGTCAGTGATGCCATCATGGTGATGAAAACAGCGGAGCAGAACTCAAAACCACAGATGCTTGTCGCCCGAAGCCTGGTTCTTCCTGCCAGGCCAAGCCGCCCCTCTGGGGTCAGCACTGAAGCACTCAGCAGCCCCAAGTGCCTTGGGGACACTGATCTGTGCCAGGTGCTGCTCCGCCGGCTGCCCAGCCTGTGAGCAGACAGGTCCGTCCTCTCGGGGGGTTTGTAGGAGGCAGGCATGCGGCAGGAACAAGGAGGCGTCGGAGGACGAGAACTGTCCCTCTGACCCTGGGAGTTCTTGGCCATACCCCAGGGTGGGGAGGGGGTCTTCGCCCCCACGTCCAGCACAGAGGAAGCCAGGGGAAGGGGAGCTGGCAATCATCCAAGCCAGCAAATCACAAACAGTTGACCACACCTGTCACTTCGGGAGCGAGTGCTCAGCCCTGATCTGTCCCCTAAGGAGACGGAGTTCCAGCGCTGGCACCCCTGCCCAAGGTCACCCAGAGAAGATGGGGATAAAGTGCTCATCTCTTCATGTCAAGTGTTTTATCTCTTCTGCGTAGAGACAGCTAACCCAGGCTTTGTACATCCTGATTTATGCTCCTTCCCCTTCTTCAAAAGCATTCAATTGTATGGCTTTAGCCATCAAAGGAGAGGGAAAGAACCACGGGTTCTTGTAAAAGGCTCGCCCAAGCTCACAATTCCCTTTATCCTCTTAAGAAACGGTGAGTTCAGAGTGCCAGCCCCCCACGAGCCACAGCCAGGAGCTGGCAGCACCCACCAGCCCAGTGGGGGCCACGTGGGGAAGCCGTTCTGTCTAGGGGCCGAGGGCCTCCAGCAAGTTGGAAAAGTGCGATCATTGGTCTGAAGTCCTCGGGCCGGATTGGGTTTCCATGGAAAGGACGGAGCTCATCCGGGAGCCGCACCTGGAGAGGCAGGTGCAGAGAGCTCCCCGCTTCTGCATCCCCACGAGAGAGCCACCCAGCCTGGCTTCACGTCAGGGGGTCAGGAAGGGCGGCTGCGTGTGTGGTCTGCGGAGGTGAGGACTCGGAGCCGCTGGCAGAGGGTGAACGTCCATGCCCTCCCCTTGCCCCCCTCCCGCTGGAGGGTCCAAGGTTGCCAGGGGACTGCTGGGCTCAGCCCTAGCTCAGCCTGCCTTGGGGCCTGGGGGGGCCCATCAAAAGACACCACACAGCAGAGAAACAGCAGGGCCCAGCCAGGAAAGATGAAGTCCCAGTTTGGAGGAAGGCCTGCCGTATCTCCTCCTGTTTGAAGCTGAGGCCAGCCAGGGAGGGCCGATGGGAGGCAGGGCACCGGGCGAGGTGTCCACAGCCCGCGCCATGACAGAGTGCTGCCTTCCCCGGCACAGGCACGCCGGCCCAGGAGCAGACACCGAGGAAGCAGCTCAGAGTGGGCCCCCACCCCAGAAAGGGGGCCCGTGCCAGGCGGGCAGGAAGGAGACGGGAGAGGATGCTGGAGGCCTAGGATGAGGGGCCTGGCCCGTCCTGGGGGGCCCCTAGACACCCCACCTAGGCTGGCAGCCAGCCCTGCTCCACACAGGACAGGGCTGCATCCAGGTGGGGACACCCAATCAGCGCCGGGCCTGCAGGGGCAGGTGTGTGGGTGTGTGGGGTGGATGTGCACATTTCTGAAGGCTTTGACCTTGAAGAAGACCCTGCTGTTTGCTGAGCCTTCAGTTTAGCTTCAGTGCCCACCTCTCCCCATCCACTTAGCACTGCTCCCCAGCTCTACATACCGTAGAAGGACTCTGCCCTGGCCTGTTTGGACACCTAGCAAGGGAAGGGGAAACCCATCCAGGTGACGGATTCTATCCAGCCCCCCAGACACGCCCACTGGACCCGGAATAGCCTCCAGGCTTCACCACAGTCAATTCGGGCCCACTCAGCCCCTGGACAGAGGCTGTGCAGCACGCCTGGCCTTCCGTTCCCAAATTCACGGGGTCAGCGCAGCCCCCTGTCCTGGGACCAGCCTGCCACGTGACCAACTCACCCAGCGCCCAGAACCAGCCAGTGAGGGGCGGGCGTGGCCACCAGGCACCGTTCATGAAGCGAGGGTTAACACGTCCTCGTTTCATAGGTGATTGTGGAGCATTCCGATTCATCTGCCCACTCATCCATCCACTCATTTATTCAGCACATATTGAGCGCCGACTGCATGCCAGACACTGTTGCAGGCATTTGTGAACATGAGCAAAGAGATACACATCCCCAACACCAAGAACGTATACTGAGGTGGCAGAAACAGACAGCAAGCCAGACAGGTGAAAACCAGGGAGAGGAAAGACGCACTCGTGAGAAGGCAAGGGCACCTACTCCAGTCTCCTTGCCTGGAAAATCTCACAGGCAGAGGAGCCTGGCGGGCTGCAGTCCATGGGGTGGCGGAGAGTCGGGCATGACTGAGCAACTAACACTTACTTACTTATAGTAGAAGAGGCGGGGAGCCCCTGGTGCGTGGGAGAGAAGGAGAGGGGCTTAGGCGGGGGCTGCAGGGGTTCATTCTTTCTTTCTAAAGACTTTTTTCTGTCTTTTAAAATATTTTTAGAGCAGTTTTAGGTTCACAGCAAAACTGATTGGAAAATAGAGATTTCCCACATACTCCCTGTTCACATGCATGTGCACACACACAAACGTGTGTATGCGCACACACACACACATACACACACACACACTCACTCACAGTCCTCCGCAGGACTCCCCATGGGCAGAAGCCGTGGCTCTTCCGCGGCAGGACGTTTTCCTGCGCCTGTTCCAGCCCCGCTCCCTCTTTAAATAACTCAAAGCACCAGGCCTTGCAGCTCTGGCAGGTTGGGCGTCCTCCCGGGAAGCAGCTGGAAGAAGAAGAAACGGCTGCAGCTCAACCCTGAGTTCAAGAGCTGGCCAGAGCTTTTAATTTGGTTTGATTGATTTAATACTGTGCGTCCCGGGAGCTGCGCTCGGTGTGACCCTGGCTGCCTCAATCCCAGCTCAGCCGGCAGTGGGCCGAGCACCACGGGACCCCAGCAGTAATAACACGCTCTCGCCTCTCCTCCTGGCCCATCCGGCCGCCAGGAGCTCTTTGCAGGGAGGAGCGACTGGCTGCAGGGGCCGTGGATGGTCACTCTGAGCTGGGCCAGCCCCTCCCCTCTGCTTGGGGAAGCCCAGCAGGACTGACTGCACCATCTCCTTACTCTGAACAAGCGCTTGGGTCCCCTTTTGCTGCCACCTGAGCAGGTTTTCAAAGGGGTCTCTCCTCCACTTATCCTCTAATCCCACCAATGAAGACGTTTTCTGCTGGGGCTTCCCACGTTGCACATGCCTCCTCCTCCAGGAAGCCACCTAGGACTTGATCCTGCCCTTGTAGCTCTGCGGACCAAACGCCATCGAGTTCTAGCACACCAGCTGCTCTCATTGGCTTAGAGCCGTCATCTCCCTCTGGAACAAGAGGTGTCCTGCAAGCAGGTCCATGGGCTCTATACCGTATCATCCTGGGCCCCAGCACATCCAGGGCAGGAATGAGGGCAGGTGAGGCCAGGGAACAGTCATGCCTGCTCTGCCGGGCGAGCTGTGGGGTCAGTTAGGGGAGAGCCAGAGGGACCCCAGCCCCAGCCTCCTCTGCAGGCCTCTCCCCGCAGCTGGGACTCCCCACTTACATGACATACCTCCAGTAAGAAACACAGTACAGGGCAAAGGAGGGATGGCCTGGGAGTTTGGGCTTGGCAGATGGAAGCGATTATACAGAGAGTGGAGAAAAAACAAGGCCCTACTATACAGCAGAGGGGACTGTACTCAATCTCCTGGGATAAACCACAAGGAAAAAGAACGTAAAAAGGGATGCGCATCTGTGCCTGAGTCACTCTGCTGTGCACTAATAATTAACGCAATATTATAAATCAACTATACTTCAATAAAGAACTCAGTTCATTAAAAAACACCCACATCAGTCTCCTTGCGCCTCCTTCACAAGGGCAGCCCTAAAACCTGATCCTTCCCATCCAACCAGCCTGGCCTGGGCTTGCTGCCTACAGAGCTTGCAGACAGGGACACGTATGATGGAGCAGCAGTGGCCACACTTCAAGGAGCCCCCACTCCCTAGCACACACGTCCCGAGGCCTGTGGACACCACACTCGCGTGACCACCTCTGTGTCTGCGGCAGCGCGGAGCGCGGTAGCAGCCAAATGGCTCAGAGAGGACTTGCTCCATTTCGTTTCTTCCCAGTGCAGGGTGTGCTGGGAGTGATGCTCCACAGTGGGAGGGCGGGCCAGCCGGACCCCAGCTCAGATCCTGCTCTGCCCCGGGCTGCCCCGCGTCCTCTCTCGTGGAGCTTCCCTCTGTCCGGCAGCGACAAGAGGGCACAGGACCGGCACGTGGTTACGGAGGCCGAGACGGCCCACAGTGTGCTGGGCCCATGCTGCAGACCCAGGAGGGGAGTGGGGTGGCCCAGCTTGAGTCCAGGGGCCTGAGAACCAGGAGCCCCATGTCCAAGGGCAGAAGAGCATGAAAGGCCCAGCTCTAGAGGAGACAGCAGGAGTTCACCCTTCATTCACCTCTTTGCTCTACTCCAGCCCGCAAAGTGCTGGGTGATGGCAGCCCACGGCGGGATTGGGGGTCATCTTTACTGACTCAGACGCACACCTCTTCCAGAAACACCCAGAAATGATGCTCCCAGGTCACTGGGGATCTCTCGGTCCTGTTGAGAGGGCACATACAAAGTTCACCGCCACACACATTGCTTTTCTGTTGTTAAAGATGTGCTTTACTCACTAAGTCATGGCTGACTCTTTGAGACCCCATGCACTGTCGCCTGCCAGGGCTCTTTGTCCATAGGATTTCCCAGGCAAAAATACTGGCGTGAGTTGCCGTTTCCCCCTCCAGGGGATCATCTCAATCCAGGGATGGAGCCTGCTTCTCCTGCGTCTCCTTCATTGGCAGCTGAATCTTTACCGCTAAGCCACCAGACAAGCCCTGTTAAAGATGAACTATATCCACTTATGTGTCTTCCTAGATCTTGTACCGAGCAACCCCAAAGACTTTTCCTGTTACTTCAAGTTTGTTTTGTAGATTCTCTGTTACAAACTCTATAAAGAACATTCATTTATTCTGCAAATGACTACAACTTGGTTTCTTCTTCTTTGGTATTTATAACTCACTCCCCTCTCTGATTCCCAGGCCTTCAGGACAACACTGAGGGAAATCTTGCTTTTGTCTCTTAATGGAACGAGTCTGTAGTTTCGCCATGGTTGTGAAATCAGGTGGTTGGATAGAAATAGGGTTTTGTATTCAGGCTTTTCTCTCCTGTTTTGATCTGCTAAAACTCTGGGATATTTATGGTATTATACATTTGCTTATTTTATTTGTTTTAAATATTAGATAGTTATAACCTTTACTAAATATTTTTTCTTTGTGAATTGTGATACGCATTTTTTTTCACTGATTTCTTCATACATTAGCTACATTAATAGATTTTTTCTAATGTTATATAAACTATTGCATTCCTGAAATAAAATTGAAAAACAAATACTCCCTGGCCATATATATTATTTTTATAAAACACTGCTGAATTCAATTTGCTATATTTTTGTGTAAGAATTTTGTATCTGTTTTCACAGCAGAAATTAAGCTATAATTTTATTTTTTCTATTGTCTTTGTCCCATTTTGGAGTCAAGGACACTTTAGTCTTATAGAGAAAACTGGAAAGTTCTCTCATTTTTTCCCTTATGTATGGGAAAGAGATTACTTGTTCCTGTAAGGTCTTGAGAAACTTAGCCACTTACCCTCAAAAAATTGTTTTTTGATGCCGTGGTGGAACTGGGAGTTGGAGAAAAAATGGTAATGAAAAGAATTCTGAGTAAAGCTACAATTTATAAAATTGTTATAAGATCTTTTCTGTAATTTTTTCTCCTCTATTAAATTTTGATATTTTATAGTTTTCTATAAAATTTCCATTTCATCATAGATATTAAATTTATGGACACAAAATTGGCTCCAAGACAATATTCTACTATATTTTTAAACTCCATTGTATCTATGTTTTATTTCACTATTTTTATTTTGTGGCTTCCATTTTTTTTATTCATCACATTTTGTCTGTTTCATTAATCTCTTCAAACAAGCTACTTTTGTTTTTGTTGATCTCCATTTTTTAAAAAATATTAATTTCTGCTTCTAAGTTTATAATTTCTTCTTCTAGACTTTATTTTGTTTTGATTTCAGGGGGCTGTGTAAATGTGTGTTCAGACTAGAGTTTATTCTACTAACTGACTGACTTGGAATGTCCGTGACATTTTTCAGTTTCCTATTTCTAATAAAAGAAATAAAACATTACTGTTAAACTAGTATTCTACGACCTTTGCCATGAATTCTTCCTTGTGAGACACTAATGTTGACAAATCTTCTTTATATTTTGAAAATATATAGATCTGCCTGGATATATTTTTCATTTGAATATTTTCAATCTGTATTATTTTGCTGTAAATGTGCCTCTTCAAATACCCTTAACTCTGCCTCCTCAGAGTTGTTTTCTTATGCTTATTCTAAAAGGTTTGTATTTTTAACTTAGAAATTTAGACCTACAATCTATTTGGAATTAAGTTTTTAGTATGGTGCAAAGTAATTCTTAATATTCTTCTTTAAAGAAAAAAACAACGGACATCCAACTACCCAAGTTGTTGCTGTTCAGTCACTAAGTTGTGTCTGATTTTTGGGACCCCGTGGACCGCAGCGCGCCAGGCCTCCCTGTCCTTCACTGTCTCCCGCAGTTTACCCAAACCCTTGTCCACAGTGTCCGTGACACCATCCAGCCATCTCATCCTCTGTAGTCCCCTTCTCCTCCTGCCCTCAGCTGTCCCAGCATCAGGGTCTTTTCCAATGAGCTGGCTCTTCGCATCAGATGGCCAAAGTATTGGAGTTTCAGCTTCAGCATCAGTCCTTCCAATGAACCCCCAGGACTGATCTCCTTCAGGATGGACTGGTTGGATCTCCTTGCAGTCCAAGGGACTCTCAAGAGTGTTCTCCAACACCACAGTTCAGAAGCATCAATCCTTTGGTGCTCAGCCTTCTTGATGGTCCAACTCTCACGTCTGTATACAACTACTAGAAAAACCATAGCTTTGACTATATGGACCATTATTGGCAAAGTGATGTCTTTGCTTTTTAATACTTTGTCTAGGTTTGTCATAGCTTTTCTTCCAAGGAGCAAGCATCTTTATATACTTTACAAATAAGTTTATTTGTCAATCTGTAAAAAGGAGATCCAGCCATTTGCAACAACACTGATGATCCTGGAGGATATTATGCTAAGTGAAATAAGCCAGACTCACAAAGAAAAAAACTGCATGGTCTCATATGTGGAGAAACTAAAATCTTGAATCTGTAGAAGCAAAGAGTAAAACAGTGGTTGCCCTGGGCTGGGGGTAGAGGAAACTGGGAGATGTTTGGTAGAGGCTACAGATTGCAAAGAGTTGACTCATTGGAAAAGTCCCTGATGCTGGGAGGGATTGGGGGCAGGAGGAGAAGGGGATGACAGAGGATGAGATGGCTGGATGGCATCACCGACTCGATGGGCATGAGTTTGAGTAAACTCTGGGAGTTGGTGATGGACAGGGAGGCCTGGCGTGCTGCGATTCATGGGGTCTCAAAGAGTCGGACACGACTGAGCTACTGAACTGAACTGAACTGAACAGGTTGCAAAGACGGAGGATGATTAAGGCTAGAACCCCAGTGTACCGCACGATGACTAAAGTTATGAGCCTGCAATGAACAGTGGAAATGTGCCGAGAGTAGGCTGCAGGCATTCTCATCACATGTACAAAAGTCTAACCAGGTAAAGAAACGCTATATCAGTTTGCTTGACTGTAATAAACATTTCTCTCTGAATATGTACATCAAACAGTCATATTGTACACCTTAAATGTGTACAATTATTATTTAGAATAAATAGTTGAATTGAATATGTTCTCATTTTAAACATTATACCTAAAACTTCATTTACATTAACTACCAGATTGACTTGCTTCTTCCTCACCATTTTTGTCAGTCCCAAATCCATCTTCTTATTGGACTCACGACTTTCGTTTACTCTTGTTTTGTAGAGGTATAGATTCAAGCAAATTTTTAAAAAGTGCCCATAGAAGGTAAATTTAACTTTTTTTTTCATGCACAAAAATTGCTTTCTCTGCTAGTTGAGTAATAGTTTTCCCAGGCATGGAATTATAAAACCAAACTTCTTTTGGATCTTTGAAGACTTTTTTTTTTTTTACAGGGTGTGGTGTTGCTATTAACATTTTGACACCAATGTGATCTTTGTTCCATTATGGGACTCTATCTTTAATGCAGTTATGAAGATTCTAGACAGCTTCTTGATTTTTTTGAGTGCTGGCATTTATCCAGACTGTATCCACATGCTTCATTTTTTTCTTAATCTTCTTGTCCCATATTAGACACTTTGGATGAGCTTTTCTCAATTCAGGAAAAAAACTCTTTTCATCTGTGAGCATTTTGTCTCCTTTAACCTCTGGTCTCTCCTTTTCCATTATTTTTTGTAAAGTCCAATAACAGTCATCTGGGTAAGCAATTCAGTATTCAGCTCTAACCGTTCTGCTGTGTGGCCATTTGGGGGGGATTTTAATGATATCAAACCTCCAAGTACTCTGATCATTTTTATTGCTGATTCTTTTTCTTTTTATGTCCTAGGGTGTAATCTGTGGATGTCTCCTGAATAAAGGCCCACCATCATAGCTTCCTGAAGACTTACCTGGAAGGCACACACTCCCCCAAACAGAGCTCTGCTTCCTTCTGATGCTTCTCGCCCTTGCCAGCCTCATTCGTGGGTACCAATCTGCCCCAAAAGAAACCCAGTAGAAATTAACATCCGGTGATACTGAGAGCGAGCCAGACACCTGGACTTAGGCAGTTCTCAGGATTCCCATCACAAGAACCTTCAACAGAGCTGGGATTCAGACCCAGAGAGGCTGATCAGGAGCAAACAGGGCTCTACCGCAGGGCCACGCAGCCTCGCCGGCTGCAGGCTTTGTTCAGAAAAGAACTTTGGATGCTCTTCCCCAGGCCCGTTTGTTCAGAATCACCTGGAGACGGCTCCCATGCGCATCCTCTGCCTGATGCCGGCCGGGCTCCTGGGGGAGGACCGCTCTGATCTCAGCAGTAGATCCTCCTGCTCACTCTCACTGACGGTTTCCTCTGGTTTCCCCATCAGTCTGATGTGACTTCCCATCCCCAGAAACCCTACAGCATTTCTGCTTCTTCCCTGACATCCTCCCCAGTTGTCATCACTCGTGTAGCTTATTCTCACTTTTTCTTTCTTAGTCTGTCATTTTTATGGCATTTCTGGTGGGAGAGGAAGTGATTGTGTTGCTCGGTAGACCATTTTAGTCCAATACAGTCATCTTTCTGAATGTACGATTGTCTCCTTCCCGAGAGCTGCGGGTTCCTCACTGATGACGGTATCTTGTCTACACTTTCTAATTGGGCTCAGGGGACTCTGTAGGACTGGAGGCCCTGGTCTCCTCTGGCCCCAGCTCACCACAGCCAGCTCCACCCCAGGGTTGCAAGGCATCTCCTAAATGTGTCAGAGGGACTACACGTTGCTCCTGTGACGGGCTTGACGGTCTCGGGCACAGCATGTCTCATACTGTGCTGCTCCAGCGGATGAGGGTCCTTCTGCATTTTCCAGACTTTCTACCTCTGGAAGGCAGGAATCATGCTTTCCAGGTCCTTCCACAGGACACGCACATGGTGGGCGTTCACTCTGCTGCACACCAGCCCCTCTCCTTTGTGAAAAACTTAACTGTCCTCGAGGGGCTTCTGTATTTCATCAAAACCATTCCTTCACGCACGTTTCTCTGACACTAGAGCGGGGCTGTCGTGAGGCAGGGAGTTAGGATTGCGTCTCTATACCCTCTGAAAGTAAGAGTGCACTGTCGTTCAGTCGCTCAGTCGTGTCTGACTCTCTGTGACCCCATGGACTGCAGCACGCCAGGGTTCCCTGTCCTTCCCTATCTCCCAGCGTTTGCTCAAACTCATGTCCATGGAGTCGGTGATGCCATCCAACCGTCTCACCCTCTGTCACCCTCTTCTCCTCCTGCCTTCAATCTTTCTCAGCATCACGGCCTTTTCCAATGAGTCAGTTCTTCGCATCAGGTGGCCAAAGTACTGATGTTTCAACTTCAGCATCAGTCCTTCCAATGAACATTCAGGCTTGATTTCCTTCCGGATTGACTCGTGTGTGGTGTGCAGTAAACACTCGGTCAGCCTCACTCAGCAGATGAAAGTGACTCCATCCTTAGCTCCACCCCTGCCCATCCAGTGCCCGGGTCCCTGGCCCACCTGTCTCTTCTCTAAACCTCAGGTGCTACTGGTGCACATCTCTGCCCTGAGGGCTGCAGACTCTCAGGGCTGGACTGGACCTCTCCATAACGGCGCTCCTTCAGCTGTGCAAGACTGCTTCCCCAGGCAGCAGGGAGGCCCTCTGAGCAGAGGTGGCGATGCTTTTAGTGTGTTGCTCTGTCCCTTCTTGGCCCCTGGAAAATGCCAGGCAGAGAAGAGTAGCTCATTACATCCTCAAAGCCAGTGGAGCATGGTGGCAAAGGCGACCACACAGATGTGACTCTAATCCGAGGGCGATAAGGCCAGGACCCCCAAGCACCACCGCCAAGCCCAGAGCCCCAGGCCAAGCTTGGCTGTGCCAAGGCTCAGACCTTCCTGACCGCTGGCATGGGGGGCAGGTGCAGCCAGGCCCAGGAGGCGGTGGCCTCCGGCTCGGGCAGAGATCTTTTACTCCCAGTGGCTCACTCATCCATTGCTACATCAACTCAGCTCTTTGACTGCAATCGTGAGTTGGTACCATCTGCTGAGCGCCTCAAACACAGCCTCACAAGGCGCCCCCAGGCCTCACCACCCACTTTATAGTTGTGGAATTGGAGGCTGGGGAAACAGGGAACTGGTCAGAGGTCCGGCTGAACTTGAATCCACAGCTGTCTGATTCCAACCCGGCCATTTCTCCCGCTCCAGAGAGCTGCCTCCCTGACAAGTAAAGATCACACGATGCCCGGAGTTTCCAAGTTCCTTCTTGAATTTTTTAAACCATCATCAAAGTTTAATACTCGAAGACATTAAGAAATACCATGAAAATACTGTCTGTCTCAAGACCAGGGATGTGTTTCTCTCCTGGGATCAGAGGGGAATTATCCTCCAGTGTGTGGAAACACGTGTACCGGTTAGGCGACTAGAGCCCGCCAATAAAGCAAATTACAGCCTGAAAACCCAGACGGGCCCCTGCGGGTCGCAGACTCAAAATGTCTGAGGCTCTCAGCTTCGGCCCAGCTCCCTGCGCCCACCCCTAGCTCCCCCGCTGTCGCTGCCATTCGGGGATTGAGGACGCGTGGTTGGAGCGCAGACTCTGAGCAGGACTCCCCACGGGCGTCCCCATGGGGAACGCTCGGCTTTAAGAAATGCTCCCTGCTTCAGTGGGTTTCTCTCTGGGGAGGGGGCAGGGGACGAAAGCCCGGCAGGTGGTCCCGGACCACCACCCACCCTGGAAGCCTGAGAGGACCAGGACCGGCGCCGCTGGCCATGGGGTAGGCAGGCGGGGAGGGGGTGATGCCAGAGCTCCCCAGAGGGTCATGGAGGGCGGAGCTGTGACCCCAAGTCTGTGCTGAAGCCCTAACCTGGAGAACCACAGAGGGTGACTATGTTTGCAGAGGGTCTTTATGGAGATAATCACGGTAAATGAGGTCACAGGGGTGGGACCCTGATCCTACAGGACTAGTGTCCTTATCGGAAGAGGATATTAGGACCCAGACAAACACAGAGGGATGACCACATGAGGATCCAAGGAGAAAACCACGTCTGCATGCCCAGTAGAGGGGCCTCGGGGGAACATGCTCTACGAACACCCTGACCTTGGACTTGCAGCCTCCAGGAGGTGAGGAGATAGATCTGCTGCGTAACCTGCCCCATGGGTGGGCCTTTGTCACAGAGGCTGGAGCAAACTGACCCAGGGGGTGACTCTGACGCACCCAAGGGGCCTCTTTGACACAATCAGAGGCTGGGTCCTGTGACTGCTCTTCCCCATGCATGAAGGGTGGGCTTGGGAAGCCAGGACCCTGTGGTCCTATCAGATAGAGCGAGAAATCAGACCAGGAAACTCGGGCAGGAGGAGTTGCACGTCCAGAGATCCAATGGCTTCTTCCCACCAGAGAGGAAGCCAGGGCAGCGGGGAGCCCAGGGGGGAATCGAGGGGCCAGGCAGGAGGCAGGGCGGGAGAGGGCAGAGCTGGAATCTCCACAAAGCGGCGTCACCCGCTGTCTCACATGTCCCCACACCCTCCTCCTTGGAGGAGTCAGAGCCGTTCCAGTTACGCCATGGGGCCTGATGGCAGCCAAGTGCCCTGGAACCACTGGACCCTGAGACCTGGTTCTGCTCCCCACCAGGCGATGGGGCTCCCCAACACCGGGTGGACTTGCTGCCTGACGCTTGAAAGTCATGAACCCAATCCGGAGCCCAAGGCCCCTCCCTTGCAGGGTGGCACCAGGAGGCAAGCAGGTCTCCTCATTTCCCAACTCCAGGCTTCCCCAGAGTCTTCTCCCCAGGCTCCGAGCGCACGTTTGTGAGCAGGCCTCCGCCCTGAGCCTCTAGGATCTCCCTGTTCGTGTCCAGCGTGGCTGCTCCTCTGCCCTGTCCCCACCCCAGCCCCCAAGCGCTCCACTCCTGCCACTCAGACCGCCAGCTCCGTGCCTGCATGCTAAGCCAGCCTGCGACCGTCCCGACACGGAGCCGCCCTCACCTCCCCGGCCCACCGGCCGGCTAATAGCCCCCAGGTTTCCTCTGAGCTGGACAACACGCGGGCCTTGGGTCTCAAGGTTTCACCTGCCTTTTCTGTGTTGCTGCGTGGTATACAAAGAGGCCACAGTGGCAGACCGATGCCTGCGTGGAGGTTTGTTGCAGGATCAGGACAAGCCCACTCACACAGTTTGCTTAGGACCATCCCCAGCCCACAGGAGGACTCCATCCGTGTTGGGTGATCTTCTCATGCTGTGTGCTACATGATCTTCACCGTGGTGTCTCCGTTTCAGGCCCCGGAGGCACGTGTCCCCTGCTAAAGGAACCTGCTGATGACCCCTCTCCCCACGCTGGACGCAGCCCTGGTAACTGATTCCTCTGGACCTTCCTTCCTTCCACGGCTCCCTGCTGTCATCCGTTGAGTGCTAGGACTGTCCCACCCTTCACAGCACCTGCCCCTCCATTGGACAGATCCTGTTGAGCCGTCAGAGGGGGCCACAGCCCAGCTTGGGCCGAGACCCTACCAGCAGGCACCAGGGCACAGAGTTCACACATCCAGGTAGAGAGAAGCTTTCCATGTGGGTGCCCACTGCCCACAGCCATGCCTCCATCCACATCCAGGGGCAGAGAGGGGTCTCGTGGACGAGCCGCCTCCAGTCCTGATGCCAGACATGGAGATGCAGCTCAGGGTTGACATAGCAACCAAGCCAGAAATACCGTCCATGCCTCTGCAGGGAGGAGAGCCGGGAGGTGTTCCCACCCGGAGCCCATGCCACCTCCGAGCGCAGGCGTACGGTGGCCGAGTCGACCATGCCCGAGAGGGGCCCACGAGGCCGCCCAGCCCGGCTGTCATGGAGCGAGCCCCATGTCCTTCGCTGCGTTGCATCCATGTTGGTGTCTGCCCGCGGTGAGCCCCGTGGGCGGGCTCCTTCATCTGCCAGTGACTCCCATGTCCAGTCTTCTCTCTGAGCCCAGAAGGCACCACAGGCCAGCAGTGGGCAGCTGGACCACTGAACCTCCATGTTTGGCATCAGGGTGAGCATCTCCCTAGTGCCCACGTGCCTGGTACAGAGTTGGCACAAGACAGCTGCTTGGTCGGCAGAGGGGGCCCAGGGTGCTCATTCGCCATTCACTCGTTAAACCGGTCCGCACTGGCGGCCAGGCACACTGAGGTCGGTGGCCGGGCATTGTTACCACAGCCCTGGCGTCATATTAAGTGCCCCGTGCTCCTGTCTGCAAAGAGCAGGCCAGCCCTGGGGGAACCAGGGAGGGGTCCAGACACCCTCGCACACAGCCTGGAAGTCAGGGGTTTCCAGTTGCGTGGAATTTTCCATCGTGTTGGACACCACATCTCCACTGTGGCCCTGGTCCTAACCTTGCAGACGGAGAGGTCCGTGTCCCTTTCTGTGGAGAGGGGAGCATCTTGTTCATGTCAGGCACGCTGCGAGAGGCCCAGAGCTAGAAATCCATCCAGCTGGAGAAGAGATAAGACAGTCTTCTCAGTGAGTTGTAGTCCCCGTGGAATAAGGCAGCCGGCCTGCAGCAGGTGGTCTGATGGTGGCAGGGCTGGGGCAGAGTGGGGTCTAGGACCCTGTTACAGGGTCTCATAAAGACCCGCTGATGCTTTCAGGGTGGAAGGACAGCAGGAGTGGATCAACTATGTCACCAACCAGTAACCGCCTCCATCAAGAGATACCGGGGGGTTCTGACTTGCAGCCTCATAGAGCTGAAAACCAAAGCCCTGGCAGGGGCTTGTCTGTCATGAGCTGCCCATCTGGGTGTGAGTGTGACCAAGCCTGAGCCCCAGGGGGTTTTGTCCAGACAGTGAATGCTCGCAGCTTCACTGAGATGACGCCCACCAGCAGGAAGGCACAGCTCCCCCTGAGCTCCGCAGAGTGTGGGCACACAGCCTGGACCAGGACCCATGCAGCCGCTTGCATCATCCTGAAGCGTCTCCCCGGGGAACCCCAAGCTCCATCGGCCACAATCTTTCTGTTCCTACCAGGGAGCTTGGTGAGCAGCCTCTGGAACTCAGCCACAGGGTTTCTTGCCCCGAGTTCCTCCCACGGTGACGTCTCCTAGATGAAAATTCGCTGGCCTTTCCATCGCCGGGAGCTGGCAGCCTTCAGAACCCATCTTGGCTCGGACGACTCGGGGAACAGTTTCCTCGAGGACCAGATAACACTCGTTGGCATGGTCCCCACCAGACTGCCGGCAGAGATGTCCCCGACCCCAGCGCCCGGTGAGCAGGTCCCAAGTCGGCAACGTGATCAAGCGGCCAGTCCTGGCACTGAGGTCCTTATTGCGCCGAACTCAGGACTGGTGCAGGTTTTCTGTGGGAGGGTGGTCTTCCTCTCCTCCCTTCACATCCTCGTCTGAGGCCAGCTCCTTCCTGGAGACAGGAAACCTGCCTTCGTTCAAGCCAGAAAACCTCCAGGGCAGGTTTGCCGCTAGCTGTCCCTGGCTGTGAGCTGAGGGAGGGAGGGGTCAGCTCCTCAGGAGGGGGCCCAGGTTTCCCACACCACTGAGCTGACCGCACCCTCTGTCCTTCTGTCTGTTCCTGGCAGCAGTCACGGGCAGATGTTTTCAGCTTGCTTCTTACGGTTTTCTCATTTACTCCAGGAGAGGGAAAGTGCTGCAAGGCAGAAGCTCTGGCTGGGCCCAGGTCTCAGAAACCTGTGTCATCCGAAGGAGATGACAGTGTGAGTTCTGGGGCCGTGAGGAGCCGCCCCAGACGTGTGCTCCCACGGTGTGCTGGGGCTGCAGCACGCACATGGCTTGGCTGAGACAGCCAAGAATCCATCGCCACGGAACACTACTCAGTCACAAAAAAGGAAATGATGTCAGTCGTAGCAACATAGATGAACCTAGAGATTATTATACAGAGAGAAGTAAGTCAGAGGAAGACAAATGCCACATGATATCACCTATCTGTGGAATCTAAAACTCATCTAACACACACAGACCTAGAGAACATCCGTGTGGTTGCCCAGTGGGATCGGGGGATGGGAGAGGGAAGGACTGGGAGTCCGGGCTTAGCAGATGCAAACTATTATATATAGAACGGATAAACAACAAGGTCCTACTCTATAGCACAGGGAACTATATTCAATATCCTGTGATAAACCATAATGAAAAAGAATATAAGAAGAATCTGTCCATTTGTATCCCTGAATCACGTTGTTGTACAGTAGAAATTAGCACAACATTGTAAATCAACTGTACTTCAGCTTAAAAGAAAAAGAATATCTTGCGGCCTGGCAGCCTCTATTCAACTCCAACAATGGACACACATTCACTGAGCTGGTAAGATCCATTCACTTCCTTTTTTCTCTCATTATTGTATTTGGTTTTTAGATGCAATCCCGGCAGCTAAGCCTGGCAGCGCAAATGATTCTTACTTTTCAGGATTTTTTAAAATATCATTGAAATGTTTCAATAGCATTTAGATTCTAAGGGATGTAAAATCAAGTTGATACGCCTCTTTCTCACTCAACCTTGTTTAATCCTTGCCAAGGCCCACTGGGCAGTCACGTTCCCCGTGTGTGACTGATGGAGAGGCTGAAGCACTGAGAAGCCGCATCGTGTTCACGGTTCAAAGCCATGCCCATCACCCTGTGAAGCCTGGACATGTGTGCACAAAGCCGCAAAGCCGGCTGACCCTACACTGCCGCGGCCAGGTGGGAAGAAAACAGATGATAATGGATGGAGAAGGATTCCTTCTAGAAGCGCCCTCCAAGGAGCCTCTGCCACCCCCTTCCTGCCCCCATTCTGCTCCCATGCCCCCTTCCCAACGAGTCCACATCTCAGCCATCCCGTGGTGCTCAGGGTCAGCCAGACCAAAATGGGGTCTCCTGTGGGCTTGAGGAAACTAAGACAGGCTTGGGACCCCCAGGAAGCAGTGGTCCAGGCGGGGGTCCCGTGATTCTCTTCCATTCCATGCCCTTCCGGTGGGCTCCCCTGCTTCCAGGACGCCCTCCTTGCCCTGATGAGAAACAGAGATGCCAGCCGCCGTAACTGCCAGGCGCACATGTGTGCTGCCCATTCCGTGCGTTATCTCGTGACGGGTCGACTCCAGTGTTCCTGGAGCCGCTGGGTGCACGCAGATCTTAAGACACAGTGACAGACGGGTCCCGGATCCTGCCTTCGGGAACCCGAGGAGCCAAAGCAGAGGTGAGCTGTGCACTGCCAAGCCAGACGGACGGACATCCTCGCCGCGCTGTGTGAGCTGCAGCCATCACCCGTGTCAAAAGGGAGCAGCATGACTGTGAAGCTGGCGCCAGGGACAAGCAGAGAACTTGCAAAACTGCAAATACCGTTTAAAATGCTGCCACTCCTAAAACAGGGGGCGTTCATCTGTGGATTGGGCAGGAGCTTCCCAGGGCGAAGGACCCGAATTTGCAAATGCACTGAGTTATTAAAGTGCTTGAAGTGTCTGTGGGACTGCAAATGAAGGCCACTAATATTAATTTAGTTCTTGCATGACGGTGTAATTTGCAAGGCAATACAGAAGCAATCACATATAATAATAACAGTATAGCAACAGAAGCCGCAGTGACTGATCCCTCATGGCGACGCAGATTCTTGCAAAGTTCTGCAGGAGACGTCATTCTCCCAGAGCCCCTGCAACCCTGGGGAAACGCTGCCATCATCCTGGTCTTCGTCACTGTCTGAGGACACACAGCTACACGCCAGCTATGGCCACTGGTCTGTCCCGCCACCCATACTCCCCTCCTGAAGGCAACCCCCACTTCTAAAGAACCAGTCTGGTAGTACCATGATCCTCCATCCCAGTCTTGACCTCTGGCCCTGCTCGTTCTATCCCACTTAAATGATGCTGACCCAACCTCTCCTTATCCCCACCCACCCTGATGTCAGGCATGGAGGTGGCCACATGACCTCCACCTGGCCAACCAGCTCATGGACCAGAACTCAAAATCCCTGAGGAAAAAAACACCTGATGCAGCAGAGGAGAGCACGGGACCTAAACAGGATCTTGCTCACAGTTTTGTCTTAACACAACCGGGAGGCTTTGCGCCCATTCTCAGATACATTGGTGAACCTCAGAGCTGCTGGGGACTACCATTCTCTTATGTGGACTGGACTGGACCACACAGTCAAGCAGGACCAATGGAGGAATGAAAAATAAAACCAGAGTCCTGATAATGTCATTGGGGATTCCGGATCAAACCATGCCTGAAGCCAAGCCATCCTTTGAACTGTCCAGTTACATGAACTAATACATTTCATGGTGATTGTTGTTTAAGGCAATTTAAATTCTATCTCCTTTCTTCTAACAAAGAGTCCTAATAGCATGGGAGAATCAGAGTATAGACCCAGAGCCCGTGTTTTTAGCATTGGTGACAGAGACATATTTGATGTATGCACCTGTTTTTAATAATAATAGCAGTTCTAGGACTAGCCCTGCTAGTCCAGTCAATCCTAAAGGAAATCAGTCCTGAATATTCATTGGAAGGACTGATGCTGAAGCTGAAGCTCCAATGCTTTGGCCACCTGATGCGAAGAGTCAACTCATTAGAGAAGACCCTGATGCTGGGAAAGATGAAGGCAGGAGGAGAAGGGGTGACAGAGGACAGGATGGTTCGATGGCATCACCGACTCAATGGACATGAGTTTAAGCAAGCTCTGGGAGATGGTGAAGGACAGAAAGCCTGGCGTGCTGCATTTTATGGGGTCACAAAGAGTCAGATACGACTGAGCAACTGAACAACAACAGGTCTAGCACTGCATGAGAACCAGCACCTTCTGCGCTGAGTCCTGGATCGCCATGGTTTCCTTTCTACCGTCGATCTGGGATGTGGTAGTCACAATCATCCCATTTTACATATGAGGACGCTGGATGGTAGTGGCGCTTTTGAGGGTTTCATATAAATCGAATCATAGAGA